AAACCCTAAACCTTAAGCCCTCAACCGTATCGGCCTTATAGGGCTTATCGGTTTCAGGGCTCATAGGGTTTAGAGCTTCGAGGGAGGATGCCTGCAGGTTCAAAGCACAAAAGAGACCGAATAGGAGGGTCGACGGTTCTAGGGTCAGTTTAGGACTTTTGGGTTTCAATTGGTTTGGGTTTCAGGGTTGCTAGGGCTTCGGGCCTTTTTGGTTTTTCAGTTGAGGGCGTTGTGATTGCTTATATTGCTTTTGGGTTCCTCGGGCTTTCCATTCCATCCTCGCCTCGAATCATGTACGTGCCAAAACATTCCTACATGTTCTGCAAGGCGGCGGAATGCAGTACGTGCGTGGTGACGCTTGGCGGTGTTTCCTGAACCCTAAACCCAATGGTTTAGGGCGTGCTGAGCGTGCATTACCTTCGCGCAGCAGGTGCAGTTAGCCTCGAGGGAAAATCCGGATGAGCTGGTCTGCTTTTAAGCAGTAATTAATGTAGGAGCCTAAATTTAAATATTTACCAATACTATTTTGGGGGTGCCTTATTGTAATTATAGTATATTGTGATGTTCATAATCTCAGCAACTAACCGTTAGTCAAAATTCGAACGGGGACTGGTTTGTTTTCCTCCGTTGACGCGGCGCCCCGAGGATCTCCACGCAACGCAGGAGAAGACGGGCATGTACAAACACGATTGGACCGCCCCCAAGGACGTGAAGGGTTTAGGGTTTAGGGGTTTAGGATTTAGGGTTCGAATATGGGCCAGTGTACATTTTGGACGTTAGCAGCAATAAACACCCTACTATGGGCGTGGTTTGCCCAGGCTTTGGGATTTGAGGTGGCTTAACACCGGAACCCCTTGCAGCTCCGCTCGGCCCGGAATCAGGGTCACGTATTACGAGAATTTTTGGGCGAGCAGAAAATGCAAGTGCGTTTTTTTTTCAGTTCCGTGGGAGTCCAGGTTCGTGTTTGAAAGGTGCCGGCATCAGCGCTGCAGGCCCTTGGCCAAAAAAACTGAGCCCTAAACCAAAATTCGTAACTCTGCCCCATTACTCTGCCCAATTCTCGACCCCCTGAAACCCCGAACCCCAAAGCCCTCCACCACAAGACCTAAAACCCAGAACCCATTAAGACTGAAGTTCAAAAGGAGTCAGACATCTCGGGCTTTGACCCGCGATCGCTGCAGGGCTGCAGAGGTTTAGGGTTTTGGGGGTTTCGGGGTTTAGGGTTTAGGGTTTAGGGGGTTTCGGGGTTTCCGGGTTTAGGGGTTTAGAGTCTGAGGTATGTTTTGTTGTTTACCAAGGCTCCATGTGCCTGCACAAGATTGCTAAGACTTTAAGGGGGTTCCTGTATACTAACTTGCGGGCCGAAGTATACACTTGCAGCTTCTATCTACAAAATGTGTTACTTTATATTTATTGCTTCCATCATCACTATTACAGGTGTAATTTGGTATTTATACATATATACACATGGTTTTATGTCTATTGTTTTTTTGCATATAACTTTCTGAATTAATATTCACAGTAGTAACTAATCGTACCAGTAGGGTTATCTTTCGTATCGTTGCTATTACTTCTACTACTCTAAAAGCGATAATAGAATTGTTAGCATGAAGTATTGTCTGATGCTTCTTACTGTTACCATTTAATATGTTTATTACTATTCTCATTCTTATAGTTGTAAAATCACAAAATACGAATACCAAACAGCTTTTTATTGTTGCTACTATTGTTATTAATATTACTATCGTTGTCATTGTTACTATCATTGATATTCGTACTGTTGATATTGCTGCTGCTGCTGCTGCTGCTGCTGCTGCTGCTGCTGCTGCTGCTGCTGCTGCTGCTGCTGCTGCTGCTGCTGTTGCCCTTTTTTGCTACTACTGGTACTGTTACTACTGCTGTTGCCATTTCTACAACTAGTACTACTCTTACTAGTACGATTACTATCATTGTTACTATTACTATTACTATCACTATCATTCAGAGTATTGCTACTACTATTCTCATTTCTAATACTATTACTCTCACTGCTGCAATTACTGTCACTGATACTTCTACTATCACTATTCCTATTACTATTACTATTGTTACCATGATGACTACTGCTGTGTGCTTTGTTACTTCTAATGCTCATGATTATTGTTGTTCTTGTTGTAATTACTAGTATTGCTGTTCGGCCTCACCGGATAGCTATGTTCAGCTTCGGCACGGGATCTTGATCAGGGTCATGTCCTTTGATTTCGAGTCCCTAGGCCCCACGCCCCAAGCCAATAGTTCGTAACTCCAACGCATAGTCTTACTCTTTTGAGTAGGTTTTCTGTGATCTTGCACAGTTTGGATTTCAGGAGCTTGTGCCGACGTTTGGCCTGTTTCGTCGCTGTGGCCTCAACCTGAGACATCAGGGACCATGTTCTTTATATCTATCTATACCCGATACCGCTGACTCCCACATACGCCAATGCACTTCAAGTCAATCATGAATGAAAATGTACTACAGCGGTCAATTCCACGGATTCTGACTATGAATTTAGCATGCCTCTTGATTGTAAGGCCCGAACCGACAATACCACCTTTATCCAGCTCTATGTGCTTTATATCCCCGCAAGCTAAATCCAAACCTACAGGATCAACTCCATCAATGCGTTGACGGGCGGCAAGGCTCGAACCCGCCCGAACTCCGGCAGTGTGCATTTGAGGCTTCCGTGACCTTGCAAATACAGGGGCCTTCATTAAACAGAGTAGGGTTTTGGGGGCCCATTATACTATAATTGTAAAAAGCCTACCCTAAACCCTAAACCCTAAACCCCTAAACCCTAAACCCTTAAACCCTAAATCCTAAACCCTGCACTCTGTAATACAATGCAGGGCCATGCTCCGGCGTTCTCGACGAATCCTTTGGCGCCTCCCGAAGACTTGTGGGACGGGAATCGGTGCGCAGACGATGAGGACGGTTTGGGGGTTTTAGGGGTTTAGGGGTTTGGGGTTTAGGAGTTTAGGGGTTCAGGGACCAGCTGTTCAGAGTGGGCTTCGGAGGTTTTTCGGCTTTGAAAGTCAGGGTTCTGCTTTAGTGCTTCCGGGAGGGGCAGGCAATCTGAAAGTCCAGTACGATTCTCGTTGTTGATACGGATCAGACAGGTGCTAAGCTTTGCGGTTCTGGTTCTGGTGGTGCAGCCCCCAAGTAAGGTGAGTCAGCAATGACCACCAAACCGCCTTCGGCAGCCGAAGCAATTTAAGAAGAGCACAAATAACCCAATACACTAACCCTGATATGCCAAAGCCCTATAGACTCTACAAGCCTTAAGAGCTCGGGAGTCTACCGGTAATTGTGAAGCCCCAACGCCCCAGAAGCGGCTCAGGGCTTACGGGACAGCGAGATCCAGGATAGTTACCAAGAGCCGAAGCCCTTCTGGTCCTCAAGAGTTGGTATTTGGGGCAATAAAAAACACCCTTCAACCCCAATCCGAGAACTCTAACAGCCCAAAACTCCAAACCCGAAGCTTGTTGAGGGCTTCCACGGTTCAGGTGTCGAGCTATTGACTCTTGACATCTGCAGATTTCAGCAGCGAGAAAGTCAGCAGGCCCATAAATTTGTGGTCTGGAACTCGGATAACCCTGGATTTACGATGCTTTGCATCCCAAACTTCTAGGACAGCATTCATCAGGGGTGTTGTAGTACTGTAGCAGCACACATACTTTTCTGTCCACAGGGTTTGCGCTAGAAATGTGTGTCTGTGGCTGCACCCGTGCCTGATTAGGAGCTTCTGGGCAAGCTGTGCTACAAGAAGTGCTCATTGCTCACAGATGGCAAGGCAGGAGGTCATTGCAAGACTTTTAAGAATGGGACGGTTGATTTAGAACATACCCTGGGCCACCAGGTTGAGTTCTGAAGGTTCCTGTATGTAGCTGTTACTGCTGGCCCGAATCCACCATACATAGCATGTCAGCAGCTTTCCCTAACCCCCCAGGTACCTACTATATAGGGCCCAACGGGCTCTAGTACCCTATATAGTAGGTACCTGGAAGGTTAGGGTTTGACACCCTAAACCCTAAACCGACGAGTGTCAAGTTGCGTCGTCACGAGTCAGCAGGCAGACTGCCCCCCCCCCCTTCTTTCTTTGACACCAAAAAGCCATGCCCGAAACCCTTAAGCCCAAACCCCCAAGCCTAGACGCTATAAACCCGGAAGCCCCAAAAAAAGCACCATGGAGATTCCAAAAGCCTTAGCCCTGTACATCAGTCGGCCTCGCCTGCAAGGCGCCTATCCGGCTGAGCGCCTTCTCCTGCGGCAAGTCCAGGGGCTTTGCTGACTTCTTCTCTGCGAAGGTCCGGTCACCTGCGGTTCCGAAGTTCTCGGCGAGATGTGCTGTTCTACGGAGGGGGGTGCCTTCTAACCTACCAGTGCTCTCCTAGAGAGAATCTGCAGAGAAGAGTTCGACATATGTTGTTCATGGAGCTTTGCTGTTGAGGACTCAGGCGTCCTTCCCACTAAGTGGGCAACATCCTCCCCTTTGCCTCATCAGGGTTCGCCATGTCGCTCGCCAGCACGGCTTGGGAGACCGCACAGGTACGTATCACCCGGACGTTTCTGGAAGTCGTTGAGGCGGCTTGCACAACATCGGAACAAAGAATTCACACGATGCCGGCGCTCCCCGAGTTTGAGCTCGAGGAAGAGGAAGAGCCTTCACCGGGCCGTGCTGTAGCACAGCCAAGCTTCGAAGAGAAGCATTTCGAGCCAGATCAGGAAAAGGAGTTTGTCGCGCGGGTCACACGGACGTTTCTGGACGTCGTTGAGATGGCCAACCCAGCACCGGAACCAAGAGTTCGCACGATGCCGGCGCTCCCCGAGTTTGACCTCGTGGAAGAGCCTGCACCGGGCCGTGCTGCGGCACAGCCAAGCTTCGAAGACAAGCATGTCGAGCCAGATCAGGAAAAGGAGTTTGTCGTGCGGGTCACACGGACGTTTCTGGACGTCGTTGAGATGGCCAACCAAGCACCGGAACCAAGAGTTCGCACGATGCCGGCGCTCCCCGAGTTTGACCCCGTGGAAGAGCCTGCACCGGGCCGTGCTGTGGCACAGCCGAGCTTCGAAGAGAAGCATTTCGAGCCAGATCAGGACCAGAAGTTTGCCGTGCGGGTCACGCGGACGTTTCTGGACGTCGTTGAGATGGCCAACCAAGCACCGGAACCAAGAGTTCTCACGATGCCGGCGCTCCCCGAGTTTGACCTCGTGGAAGAGCCTGCACCGGGCCGTGCTGTGGCACAGCCGAGCTTCGAAGAGAAGCATTTCGAGCCAGATCAGGACCAGAAGTTTGCCGTGCGGGTTGCACGGACATTCTTGGAGGTTATCCCAGATGTGATCGTCGACGATAGCCACCTGCGAAGCAGCACCATGCCCATCCTCCCCAGCTTGGCACTCGACTTCGAGAAGGAGACGGAGGAAGAGGAGAGCTTCGGTGAATTTGTGGGCAGGGGGGCGCCGATCTTCCACCCCAACCTCGCAGAGCCTGTCGGGGGCGCTGCGGAGATGGAAAGCCAGGCGATGGCCCCCGTGCCACACTGGGCAGAGCCCCTTGTTCTTGGGCTCGTCGCCCACCCAGCGCCTGCAGATCCGAACGTGGATCCGCAGACATGGGAGAAGATCGATGTCGAGCGTACTACAGGGGGAGAAGTAAAGGCAGTCGGCAACAAGGATGAACGGGCAGAGCTGAAACTTGTGCCGCAACATGTCGACACATATTCGGGTCCGTTTCCACTGCACATGGTTGAGCAACACAACAACGGCCGATGCTTTCCTTGCCTTTTCTTTTCAAACAGAGGAGATGGCTGCAGGAAGGGTGACGATTGCACGCACTGCCACGTCTGCCGCCCGAATGAGGTTCGCCGGAGAAGGAATCGCATCGCCGCGGAGTTGAAGGCGGCAAGGCAGGCTGCTGCAAGGCGTCGCCATCACGGGGCTTGAAGGAGCCAGAACCACGTCAGTGAGCAGTGCTGGAGCATCACTTTCGAGGCCATTTCGAGTCTCCGCTCGGCGACTGCTGGGTTTTCCATGCAGTTGTTTAAATTAGGGTCCCTTTTCGAGTCCCCCAAATAGTACGGCACCCTTATAAACAGGACCCTAAAAGGGACCCTAACTTAGAGAACTACCCATGGTGTTGACCATTTTATAAGCAAGGGCGGGACTATGTCGCTGGTTCACTGGTTCCAGATGATAGTACGGGCGGTGCGGGAGGCCTTCATTGCTTTTCATGTTTCGTAAGGCACGGGAGAGTTGTGCATTGAAGAAGTTACGAGGAGGCACATGGTCTCGGAGAGTCCACTAAACCCAAAACCCTAAACCCTAAACCCTAAACCCTAAACCCTAAACCCTTACTAACCCCTAAACCCTAAACCCTAACTCCAGATCAGATGGCTTCGGCCTACATCGCATGTCCCGCCCGTGCCATGGTGTGCGGCGCCGATGGGTTTTTTTCCCATAGTTTTCGCTTCATCCAGCTCCCAAAGGGTCCCAAGTACTAGGGTTTAGGGTTTAGGGTACTAACATGGTAGCTACTTTGGGCAGGTATTTGGGCCCCCAAAGTACCTATAGTCTCCATTGTAGTTCCTTTTTTTTGGTTAACCGATTTTATGGTTAGGATCCTTTAATACTTTAATATAAAATTAGTTAAACCAAGAAAAGGCACTAAAAAGGAGACTTCAGTTATATACTATGCTGTAACTTGGACCCATTGGGGCTGGCTTGTTCGCAGCTCCGGCTCCCTCCAGACCCCTGGCCCGGACCTTGTAGTTGCTGGCATTGGGGTTCAAGGGTGTAGGGTTTAGGGTGTTAGGGTTTAGGGGCAGTACTTCCTGCGGGCATGTGTCGTAGGGCTGCCGGATCCTTTATGAAACAAGCGAGGCCTTCTTCGACCTTTATGAACCCAAACTTCCGTGACGGTGAAGCACCAATCGATAGGGCTACGATTGCAAGGTCGTGTTCCCACACCAATTTGATGAGTGCAAGAGGTTAGAATCGCAGAACATTGTGCGAAGAACCAAAGACGTCAGCTTCAGCCGTCGCGGCGGAAATCATTCTGATGGCCATCATACCACAGCTGTGTTGTTCGGTCGGGTACAGGTTTAGAACTGAGGCTTCAAGGGTTGTAGGGTTCTGAGAGGTCTGTCTTAGCATTCCAAGGTATGGTAGGGAGATCAACCGGTACCCAGGACCGCCTTTATCACGAAGAAGTGGCGCTGGTGTGTTCGTCGCGTGTCCAATCATGCCTTGTCGGAGCCACTTGCAGCGAATGCGAAAAGGTGGGAACATGCTGTGTTGCGCTGATGCGGCCGATAGAGGCTTTGTTGAAGACGACACGTGACCTTGAGGGACGAGGACGCCCGCAAGGGTTCTAAGACATTGCAGCCTCAAGCAATGCGTCTTGTGGGTCTTTGCTTACCCTCCCAGCCCATCCGGACAGCGCCTTTGCAAAGGTGGTAACCCTGGTGCCCTGCGAAGGCCAGCCGAAGCAAGGGAGGGTTCAGAGCTGACGGCCACTGAGATCGGGAAGTCTGGAAGGTTGGTTGGGTTTAACTGATTCATTCGGGTGTTTGTGGGCTGGAGAGTATTTTCGTCAAGAGTCACAGCTCATGGGTACCGTGTTCTCTGGAAGGCAGAAAGAACGGCAGAACAAGAAATAGTTTGTGTTCTTGGACCTAAACCCTAAACCCTAAAACCATATTAGTTCATACGGATCCTGCCAGGAATCATGCACGCGGCTGGTTTACGGTTTAGGGCTTCCTCGGTCTTCGGCAGGTAACAAACTGAAGCTTCGGTCCATCTGTTTTTTTTATGGATTTAGGGGTAAGTTTAGGGTTTAGTAGTTTCCTTTCCACCAGCTAAGGTTACGACATGTTACGACGAGTGCCAACGAATGCTTGGGCAGTTGGAGAGTACGCATCATGGAATCCCTTGCCCAAGTAGTCGAAACACCAAAAGACCAGGGTCGGAACATTTTCTCTAAAGAGTTCCCTTCTAGTCGCTCTAGAACCATAGTAAGATATGTACCCCAAACCCCTTTCCGAATTACGAAGGCCCCTTATAGCCTGCATCTGGCAGGCTACGACATTTCTGGTGACGAAGCCGGCAACGGCTGCCCACATAAAGCCGGGACATGCTTGGTGAACGAGGAGTTCTCCTTGGGCAAGTGAGCCTCGGATCTGTTGGTGCTGTCGTCTGTGCTCTAGGGAGCTTCTTTATTACTTCTTAGAATAGGAGACCTCCGCGGACAATTAAAAGTCTTATTTTGAATATGGTTCCCAGGACGTTTAAGCTATATGGTTAGGTGCTGAAGGATATACACTTATGCCTTACCTGCTGAGGCTACAAGCGATGCGAGGACCTGACCGTGGGCCAGTATCCCCACCGAACCAGCCCGGAGCTTGATACACACAGGGCCTAGATATTTGGAAACGCGCCTTTGGGTAGACTACCGTATGATGAGGTTGTAGAGAGCCTTAACGACTGTATCTTTGGCAATTGTTTAGGCTCGATGATCAAGGATTTGTTGGAGCTGTGCTTGTAGAACTCGAGGGGTCTTGTCTCGAGTAGACTGGGGTTCAGTTGAAGTCAGGTTTTTCAGCGTGTAGGGTTCGATCTTCGTTCTCTACAGTCTCCATTGAGGCGCCGACACTTGCTGCAAGACGAAGAACTTCTTGGATGCTCGTCTCTTTTTGTGCAAAGCTTCTATGGTCTTTGTTGACTCAGTTGGGCTTCCCCAAGCTATTAAAAAGGCAAGTCTAGCTCACGTGACAAGTGGCGTCCCTTCCCAGGCAACCAGGTGGGAAGGGTTATGTCGGCAGACGTCGGTGCTGGGTGGGTAGGAGGGTGGGGTGGGGTGGGGTGGCTGATGGGTAGGTAAGCGGGTATGTGGGTGGGTGTGGGTATGTGGGTGTGTGGGTGTGTGGGTATGTCGGTGGGTGGGGATGGGTGTGGGTGTGTGGGTGTGTGGGTGGGTGGGGGTGGGGGTGGGGTGGGGTGGGGCGGGGTGAGGGTGGGGTGGGGGAGGTGGGTTGGGGTGGGCAGGGGTGGGAGGTGGGTTAGGCGGTATCTTTGATGTGTTTTCACCTGGTTGTTGGTGGGCAAGCAAACCCAACGCAAGTGTGAATAGTATATTGCAAAGGATCACTATGTCATGTCGAACGAATGCACAATGCAATGTAGCTCGTTCTGCTTGGTAGGCTGGACCGTGCAATGTTCGTGATCTTCCTGACGGAAGCACCGCTTTAGACTCACACAGCTATGGATATGGGGTTGGGATGTAGCGTTTGGGAGTTTAGCGTTGCGACATGTTGCGGCCCTAGTGACCCCAATGGTCGAGGGTATCGGGGAGAGCGGGGGGTCTAGCAGCGTAGGAGTTTGGGGTTCAAGGCTTGGAAGGATTTAGGACTCGGCATCGACGCTGGATGCCCAGGAGTGCATTGATCCCTCCAACAGCATCTTGGCCTGGCCTTGCTGAAGTTTTGCCCGCCACTCCAAGCTGTACATTAAGCCTTTTACGCCCTGCCTATAGTCTCCATTGTAGTTCCTTTTTGGGTTAACCAATTTTATGGTTAGGATCCTTTAATATAACTTTGGTTAACCAAAAAAGGAACTATATTGAAGACTGTAGGTACTGTCACCCCAAACCCTAAACCCTGAACCCTCAACTCCGGGTGAGAGGTCTGAGCCCTCAGTGTGAAACTGCAAGACCCAAGGCGCCCCAATTGAGATCTAAACCCTCTGCAGGTCCAAACACAAAACCTCCAATTCTAAGCAGATCGGAAACTCTAAATCCTCAAACCCCAAGCTTTAAACTCTAAGTTCTCAACCCTAAAGCCCAATCCCCCAAACCCAGACGCTAAATCCGAAGCCCTCAATCCCCAAACCCCTGAGCCCGTAGCCCTAAATCCTAAACCCGAAACGCCAAACCCCTAGTCCCCAAACCCCTATAAACCCTAACCCTAAGCGCAGGTCCCGATACGGTTTAGGGTTTAGGGCTTAGGGTTTAGGGTTTAGGGTCAAACGCCTCGATTGTTCCGAAGGGCAAATACACTTTAACACCCTGTAAGACTGCATAGATAAGACTTTGCAAGGGCTTGGTATAGAGAGAGGTCTTATTATACGTAGTAATGTCATGTAATATCCCTTACAGTCTGCATACAAGGACACTGTAATTTGTCTCAGAACCCTTGTCTAATCATTAAGGCACCTGCCGTATGGTTCATGGGTGCCGGTTAAGTTTGTTGACGACTCTTGGCTTTGGCTTTTGCCGGGATGTCCAAAAGACACCATGCTTTCATTGTCGAGAATCCTACCCTAAACCCAAAACCCTAAACCACACATAGCGTAAGACATATAGTATGAAGTTGCAACAACCTGTGCACATCCGTCATTGAACAGCTTGATCTGTTCATGACCCCGTCTTAAATTTAAGGTGCGGTATAAAAGTTGGGATACCTGATTTGGTATTTCAGGGATCCTTATCAGCTTAATTTATGAGAAGCATCCTACCGCTTACGGTTTACATTGTATTCATTCGTTCCTGTAACTACACCTACTTAAACCGACCCTTACATGAAACCTTTAAGACCTGCTCCCTGGAAGCGTAAAGCCCAGTGTGAAACACACACACACACACACACACACACACACCACACACACACACACACGGAGGCCATTTCAGTTTCGGGTTCAACGTCGGTGGCGGCAAGGGCGCGGAGTCCAAGAGCCATTCGCCGAACACGAAGCATCCAAGCAGCAGTGCAATGGCGGGCTTCCGGGGTTTTCGGGTTCTGGGTTAAAGTTTCGCGCTGAGGGAGCTGAGTTTTGGGCCCGGAAATGTGAGAGAACCCTCCAGTAAGAAATTGTACTTGGGTCTGGCGACTTCGATGCTTGGGGAATACAAGGTCATCATGGCGGATGCTTCTTTTTCAGGTATGGGTTCCAGGGACGAGATGTGAGATGAGAGGCCATGCGGTCTGCTAGTGCGGTGCAAAAGCGTACAGTTTGGCTCTGTCTTGAACGCCGAATATTTGATACTTAATGGTTCAGGCGTGACAAACATCCGCTACCATGTATGTCCTAGAGGAAGAGCTTCCCTCATCCTTGTTTGGCCTTTCCCGCCAGCCTGGTGCTGTAGTACCCACTGCATCGAACACACGACTGCTATGATGCCAAGCCTACAACCACTACTACTCGCTGTGCTACGGTGTTGCAAGAACTCAGTGTGGGGCCGGGATCCACATCTGCAGCTAAGGTACACCGAGCTCGGCCATTAATCTGCAGCTGTTTTTGCAGCAGGTTCCTACTGGCAGGTCGAACCCTTCTGACATAACCAGAGGGCTAGGCCTGCCGCAAATTCGAGGCATGAGATTCAGAAGCGCACATTGTGACAGCTCCTGTGCACTGTAGGCCGGCTATGGTCAGAAGAGCCTTAGCCCTACCTACATGACACTGCCCGACAGGGGCAGGTGCATTGAGGCCATGCGAAGCATGGACGTTGTGCCGCAAGGCAGATCCCGGTAGCGCATGGCAGTTGAGAAGGCTGAGCCTGTATCCCTACCTTAAGAACCCAAAACCTACTTTTTTGTAGGGTCCCTATAAATCCCATATTGGGGTTTATAATCAGAACCTACAAAAAAGTGGGTTTTGGGTTCTTAAGGTAGACCCCAAGTCGGAAAGAATAAACCCGTAACCCTTAAGCCCTTAAGCCCTGAACCCCTCAACCCCTCATTAAGTCAGGGCCCAGAGTCAGCTGCTGAGCAAGCATGTTTGCCAAACACGTCGGAATAAGTGTTATGAAATAGTCCCGTTGCAGTTATAGTATACTATTCCCCCACAGCCTGTTCAAGCTATTGTATTGCGTGGGGGTCGGCCGTCCTGATGAGCATCAGGCCGTCTGCTTCCGCAAGCTAGTGCCATCTGTGCAGGATACCCTGTAAATCTCTTTGAGCTACGATGCAGATTTCATAATCATAATATTAGTGGCACGAAGAATAGACTAGGGAGTAATGGTCAGGAAAGTTCGGATTTTCTCACGTGTTAGCTGGTCTAAAGCGCCGACTGAAGTGGGGTGTAGCAGCAGGTTCTTGGTAGGTTCTACTTCTGCCGTGCGCAGGCCTCACCCTCGAATACATCAGGTTTTCCAATGGCTCCTAAACCCTAAGCGTCCTACACCTGCAACCCAGAGCCCCCAAACCCTAAATCCTCAATCGCAAGGTCGATCCAGCTATATGCCCCTGGCTTCGAAGAAGCTCCATTTAGGCCGGAGCTTTCGAAATTCGGGCCGGCTTGTGATACGAGATGCAGAAACCCAGAATCCCGAACCCTAAAGACTAGACCTTTAGCTAGTGTTTTGAGGAGGGGTCTTCGCCGCCTCAGAATGGGAAGTTTTTGTCAAGCCAATTTGATAGCAACAAGATTGGGCCCTGACTTTCTTGGGCTCTTGTTGGTTGTCAGATTCAGCACTTGACAGCATTCGTAATATATTCAAGTAAACCATACACTGCCATACAATATCTTTGAACATTATGTATAAAATGAGAACGAGGCGGGGTTGTTGTCGTCTCTGCTATCCTCCACAGTACAGGTTGAGTGGGGCGAGGTTCAGGCAGAATTTAACACAAAGTAGTTCGGATCCGGTGTTCTTTGCTGCAGCCTCTTGTGTCGGTTGGGTCCTTCCACAGTTTCCGACGCGATGGATCGTGTTCTTTGCGGAATCCTTGCTTTCATCTCAATCCAGGCATTAGCTCTTCGGACAGATCAAGGCACAGATCAAGACGATGGAGAGATAAGCTTCCCCAAGCCATGCACTCCGACCGAGACCAGTGCCTACAATCAAGTGGTCATCCCCACGGTGAGCGACTTCACGAAATGGAAGGATGTCCTCTCCACGGCCCCGGGACTGCTTTCGAATCCCATCTCAGATGCTGATGCTTTCATGGTGGACATGACCATGCGCACATCGCTACTCTCCTATGGTAGGCTCCCGTCGAAGTGGAGCTATGCATCCTTTGGCATGTATGCAGTGAGCCTCGCGCGCATTCAGTGCCGAGGTGGTAATATCTGCCCGCCGTGCTTGTGCATAATATAGGGGCCTGCACGCATGTCCGGGTTTGGGGTTGTTCCAAGTCAGGGTCTTTGTTCGTATGTTAGGGACAGGAGCTTCCCTGATTTTGGTGTACTTTATGGAGACCCTGGTACATTGTGAGTCAGCCTGTATTCTGACGTAGACAGCTGAGGAAAGGCGGAGATGTTCCGGTCATGGCTGAGATACAGATTCGGGCCGAGGTCGACCACAAGCGCAGTAAGTCCGGAGATTACAAGGAGGATGATTGCCCAGCGGCTGCGATCTATGCAACTTGGAAGTTCCGAAAGCTCAACTGCCCTTTGTGTTGCTTATCTCTGCCGGGAGCAGGTAGAAACGGAACCTTCAACTCTAATCCCGAAAAACTGGAACCCAACCCCAAAACCAAACGGCGAAGCCGGCCGAGGTGATCAGGTTGGCGGACGGAGGAGTAGGCTTGATCCTCAGCTTCAAAGGAACATCGAATATCTTGGACTGGATGAGAAACCTCGACATCAGGTCGGAGTTCCAAAAGATAATGTAGGAGCCTTGAGACTTAGAATCGGGTTTTGGGGGGGCTCCTTATGATAAGTATGGTATACTATACCCCCCCCATGGTCCTTATTCTAACTATGAAGGCCCCCACATTAGGCGAACCCCGATTGAGAACCGCAGGTAGTTCTCGTAAGGAGCCACCTGAGTCTCCACTTTAAAACCCCTCGAAGCAACCCTAGAACCCCGAAACTCGAAGCCCGAAAAACCCTAACCCCTTAATCCCTAAACCCACACCCTTAAACCGTAAACCCTAAACCCTTAAACCCCTAAACCCTAAACCCTTAAACCCTAATCCCTAAATCCTTAAACCCTAAACCCGTAGTCACCAAACCCTAAACCCTTAATCACTACACCCTAAACCCTTAAATCCTTAAGCCCTAAACCCTTAATCACTAAACGCTAAACCCTTAAACCCTAAACCCTAAACCCTTAAACCCTTAAACCCTTAAACCCTAAACCCTTAATCACTAAACCCTAAACCCTTGAACCCGAAACCCTTAAACCCTAAACCTTAAACCCTTAAACCCTAAACCCGTAATCACTAAACGCCTAAACCGTTAAACCCTAAATCCTGAGCTCTTAATCACTAAACCCTAAACCCTTAAACCATAAACCCTAAACCCTTAATCACTACACCCTAAACCCTTAAACCCTAAGCCCTTAATTAAACCCTAAACCCTAAATCCTTGATCACTAAACCCTGAACCCTTAAACCCTAAACCCTTAAACCCTTAAGCCCTAAACCCTTAATCACTAAGCCCTAAACCCTTACACCCTAAACCCTGAAGCCCTTAAGCTCTAAACCCTTAAACCCTAAACCCTAAACCCTTAATCACTGAACCCTATACCCTTAAACCCTCAAACCTTAAACCCTAAACCCTTAAACCCTAAACCCTTAATCACTAATCCTAAACCCTGATACCCTAAACCCTAAACCCTCAAACCCTAAACCCTTCAACCCTAAGCCCTAAACCCTATACCCTTAAACCCCCCAACCCACCCACCACCCCTCTCACTCTAGAGGTGAGTGGGCGCCGTCGACCGCCAGCGAGACCATGCAGGCCCGAGCTGAGCGGCTCGGGCCTGCGACCGCACCCCTGAGGGGTCGCCTAGCCTGGTCGCCAAGCATAGTCTCTATAGTTTTTCTTTTGCCCTAAACCCGATCCAAAGTGCGAGGGGTTCGCCGGACAACGTGCCAGGCGAAGTCGCGCACTCGGGTGTGAAGCACCCCGGGCCGCGCACTCGCGTNNGTCAACCCACCCCGTCCACCCAAACTATGTTCTATTAGGGCTTAGGGTTTCTACCCCCCAACCCCCTATCAAGGAGGGCTTTTCCCAACATTTACATGCGCAGGAATCCAACTTTAGGTTTCCAGCCCAGGCGCTACAACGGTGAAGCCGAAACCTTGACCCCAGCCGTAGAGCAGGCCTGGAAGCCGTAGAGACCTCGAAAGCCTGCAGACTCTAAAGCTTATCCTGCAAGTCCGGCCTCCAGCTCGCGACGTTTAACCACTCGGAACCATCTAACGTCCCCGAAATCTTGTAGACTCCAAGGTTCCCCTAGGGCCTTTCCTCCAAACGAACGAGAGCCTCACGGTAGAGCAGGCCTAGAAGCCGCAGAGACGTTGAAAGCCTGCAGATTCTAAAGCTCTAGACACGTGGAGGTATCTAACGTCCCGTAGATTCTAAGGTTCCTCTAGGGCCCTTCCTCTAAACGAACGAGAGCCTGCTTCAGCCGTCGAGCAGGCCTAGAAGCCGCAGCGATGTTGCAAGCGCGCAGGCTCTAAAGCTTATCCTGCAAGTCCGGCCTCCAGCTCGCAAGCTTTAGCCACTGGGAAGTATCTAACGTCCCCGAAATCTTGTAGAATCTAAAGTTCCTCTAGGGCGCTTCTTCTAAACGAACGAGAGCCTCACCGTAGAGCAGGCCTAGAAGCCGCAGCGACGTTGAAAGCCTGCAGATTCTAAAGTTTATCCTGCAAGTCCGGCCTCCAGCTCGCAAGTTTTAGACACTTGGAGGTATTTAACGTCCCGTAGATTCTAAGGTTCCTCTAGGGCCCTTCCTCTAAAGGAACGGGAGCCTGGCCGCAGCCGTCGAGCAGGCCCAGCAGCCGCAGCGACGTTGAAAGCCTGCAGACTCTAAAGCTTATCCTGCTGTTCCGGCCTTAAGCTCGCAGGCCCCCGAAATCTTATAGACTTTAAGGTTCCTCTAGGGCCTTTCCTTTAAACGAACGAGAGCCTGAAGCAGTGGACCTGCGAAGATTCAACACTGTAAAACCTGCAGCATTTAAAGTTCAGACGGTCTGAGAAGCTCTGCAAGCACAAAAGCACGTAATGCCTTTGAAAGCTTGTGAGCGCGAGCATCAAAGCTTAGGATTCCGTCTCTAAACAGACCCTAAAGCCTGTATCCTGCAAGGTCGGCCTCAAGGGCGAAGGGTTCAGACACTTGGAGGTACCTAACGTCCCCGAAAGCTCGCAGACTTTAAGGTTCTTGGGACGGTGTCGCGAGGAGCTCTACACTTGCTGCGCAAGGCACGCAGTCCTGACTTCAAACCTCAAGCTCATTGCCGCAGCTTCGAGTGACAAGAAGCCAAAACGACTGAGGTAGCATGTGGCGCCCAACTCTGCACCGGTGTTTCGGCAAAGAGCCGCTGCTGCCAAC